GAATCTATTTATTTTTATTTTTTTAATATTAAAATAAATAAAAATAAATTTTATCTTTAAAATTTTAATTCTACGAATAAAAGTAAAAAAAGTCTCTTATTTTAAAACAAAATAAGAACAATATTTTTTAAACTATTTTTTTAATAAAATTTTTTTTAATTAAACTAGTGGAACCCACCTGGGCCCATTGAGTCGCCTGCCTTTTGTTTAAATAGGGAGGGTAAGATCGACTGCCGCTTCAACCCAATGACATAAATTCTAAGTTAAGATGGTTCATCCTTTATAAGTTTTCTATTTTAATCTCATAAAAATTTTTTTTCATCCTTAATAAATACATATAAATAATTATAATTTGTTAAAAAAAAAAAATAGGGAGGGTAGGGTGGAAATGAATTGTGGTTGGGGCCTACAGCCCGATGGGTCGAGACAGCCAGGAGCAGAGCGTGGACCTCGGGTGTACTTGGCGGCTTCGTTCGTGTGATCATGATTGCGCCACGTTGAGTCTAAGGATGAAAGGAGTGAAAGCGACGCATCATGTGGGGTGGCGGGGGTGCGGACATGGAGTCGCGTGACGCCTGACGCTCCCCGTTGAGATTCTGTCGGTAGATCTTTTCGTTTTTCCGATGTGCTTTTAATGGTCGTAATTATAGAATCATTATCCTCATCATTTTGTAATTAACTGCCCAAATATGAGATGAGGTTATTGTCTGTACGATTATGGCTAAAAAAAATGAATTTTTTTAACCTCAGGTTAATGCTATTTTTCAAATAAATTTATATTAAAAATATAAAAATAAAAATTAATTTTAAAATTAATATCACGTAAATAAATTTAATTAAATAATTAATCAATAAAATGTTATTTTTTATTTTTTTTAAAACTCTCAACATGTGTTTTTAGAATACAAATTAAAACACTTAAAAATTTTTTTTTTTTTATTGCTTTTTTATTAATTTTATTTTATTTTTTTAATTTTTTAATATAAATTTTAAATAAAAATTTAATATATTATATAAATAATAATTAAAATTTTTTATTAAATAAAAATACTTATCTCTTCCCAGAAAACTGGCTCTTCGTCAGTGTTACATCATCTAGAATATTTGAATTAATTTTTTATTTGAGTTGAATGAAAAACGTTTGGTGTGTATTTTCAGAAAGTTTTATTTAGATATGTGTATTGAAGTAATTATGTGCTATTAAGTGTTTTATTTAACGTTAAACTTTAAATTTTCTTTTCAAATAAAAGAATGGAAACAGATTTATTTTTAAAAAATTAAAGATAAACTATTATTTTAAATTATTATTGAAATAAAATTAATTTGACAATGTGATAATAAAGTAAACTTTTTCATTGTTCCTTATATAGTAAACACTCCGATATTTTATTTATTTATTTTAATTTTTAAAGAGGGGGAAATTTGGGAAAGGGGGAATTTGTAAAGCGAGGTACTCCCTGCCTCTCGAAACCCAGTGGAGGGCAGAATGTAGGAGTGAACTTTCCAGTTTCCGCCGCAACCAAAGCTACAAGTGGAATAGTCAATGGTTGCTGTTGTTTGCCATTAAATAATTAATAATAAAAATATTAGAAATTAATTAATATTTTGTTATTTTTTTACATCTCCTATCTTGAAAAAAAATTATTTAATAGATAATTACCAATAATTCTACACACATCCTATTCCTTTTTAAATATTTTTATTAACAAATTTATTGCATTATTTTCTATCTTTTTATTGCTATTTTTTTTTATTTTTTTATTTTTTTATTTTTTATTAGTAACACAAGAAAGTTAGTCTACACAAGATGATTTAATAAAAACTAATTTGAGTAACTTTTCTAGTCCACTAGCAATTTGAGGTTTAATTGCTCTCTAAGCATCTCGAACTGTTAAAAAAAATATATTACTGTACACATAATATGTAGCCTATCTATTTGATTGGCAAAACAACGATTTAATACGTACCATTTAAGGAAAAACTTTTAGCAAGTGCTTATTCTATTTCTCATTCAAGTCACCCAAAAAAAAAAAAAGAATTTTTTAAAAAGTCCAATCATCCTTTCCTTTCTCTCATATCTCAACTCCAACCTTCTAGCCTACCAAAACAAATAAGAAATCCTTCTTTTTCTAACCCTTTTTTTGGGCGTATTCTCTTGTCCTTAATATTTGTGGAAAACATCATTATCCAACCATTAAAAATGACAAAAAGCAATTAGTAGGAACAAGGAAGCATGAATCTGGTTGGACTCCAAATATGCAAGTTGCAAATAAAAACAATATAGTGGTCTAATACAATTTTGGTTGCCCACATTTATCATGCCCGATGAAGAGGGGAGAGAGATTCAAGCCTTTCCCTTTAGTAATGTTTAGGGAAAGTGCCTTTACATGCTCAAAGCACTAGGTGCCACTTCACCCCCAAAATCAATTCAAGATTTCCCCTTTTCCAAAGACTTCTTTAATCAGATGTGCAAGTCAATCTTGCCCTCTTCTCAATAATTATCTGGGGAGTTGTGTTTGAAAAAAAAGTCTATCCTTAGTTATGTTCTTTGACCACATCTAGATCTAATTGGAGATTTTACTAAATATAAATGTTTAATGCACTCCGGTACAAATATTTAGTATAATTTGTATTATGTTGAATTATATTTAACTAATTTTTGGATAGAATTATTTTTTATTTCAGAATATTTTTTGCAATCCAATATAATTAATATTATAAAAATGATATTTTTGACTAAATGTGTTTGATTTTTTTTTTCTCTCATGCACATTAAAATTTAGGTTAATTTGTTTATATCTAATTGTTCCTTAATTTGTGATAAAAAAAAATTTAGTTAATTTGAATTGATTTCTCAACTGTAAAAGTTAGAGTCGATAAATCACATCTATAAAAAGATTAGTTTAGCTAAACAAATTCAGCTAATAATTTGGTCATTAAAACCAAAATTAAAGAATCTATATTTGTGGTATCTTGTATGTTCCTTCTCGTATCTGGGACCATACCCATTAGAGGAATCCCTGTGGGGAACTTTTCCACTCCTTTTTGGCATATAATTCATGAATCATAACATCAAAAAATATGTGGGAGTAGCTTCAGGTGACAAACTTTACAGCTAAATCACACATCAGCCACAGGAAAAGCAGAATAAAGAGGCAACATAATTTTTCCGTAACGTGTTTTCCCACGGAACATCCTTTAGTGGAACAAGTCAATAACTCAAATTTGTTGACAGAATGGTATTGAAGATATCCTGGCATTGAACCTATCAATTCAAACAGGAATTCAGCATCTCTTTCAAGTTTGAACTGTGTTTTTGTGCCCCCAAAAAGACCTCTTTGAAAATTTCAATTTTCTTATTGTCTCCAGTGTTGGGCTTCTTTGGTCTACTTGTTACAGAACAGTTCTTATTGAATGAATAAGAATGCTTGAATTATAGACCACATAATTAAATATCTCACACTTATTAGTTCAAGTGGAAAAAACTCAATTTTCTTAAGTAAAATTTCGAGTTTGAATCTTGTGAATGAAAAAATAAACACTGAAAGAGCTTTTCTCTTATGAGATATGATATGATTCGATTTCAGATTAATCAAAATCCAATGTGATTACGAGATACTAAAATGTTAGTGCAATATATATATATATATATATATCTCACTTTCAGCTGTCAGAGTTCTCTAATACTTAAACTAAACAGGACAGTTAACAACCTCCAATGGAACAAAGCAATGAATTTGGATCTTATACAGTGAAAGGGAGCATTAATGTATGTATTAGCAATGTTCTTCAAAGACTAGTTAAGTGGTGGAGAAAGGGAAAATGTATTTACAAGATTTACATGTTGGTGGTTTTCGATTGAAAACCTGTGGCTAACCCTGGTGAACAGCTCAAGAACATGACTTTCTCAATCCCAAGCTATAGAGGAACTTCTCTGATCTAGATTTAAAGATATTGCCCAAAGAGAATCTCCCACTATCCTGAGGTGGAGTTATTGAGTAAGCATCTTCCTTAACATGAAGGATAGTCAGGCCTATCTCTTTCCGAACTGCTTCGATTGTTTCGGTCTTGACCTGATCTCCAGATGCATCAGTTACATAAAAAACATTCACAGCTTGGGAATTTATGGTTGCAACCTCAGCTCGAGTAACTGAAAGACCATTTTCTCTAAAGATGCGAGTAACATCAGACAATAGTCCAACCCTGTCCTCACCACAGAGTTCTAACCTTATACCCTGCATTACAACCACGTCAAACAAAAATTACACAACTAAAACTAGAAAAGTAGGATATGTATGTCACTTCAGCTATCCAACCCCTTACCTCAGAAGATCTCCTCTTAATAGCAGCCTCCAAGCAATGAATTACCCTTTCTTTTTCAGCATCAGAACTAATAGGACAGCCATCTACATGCCTGATATAGTATTCCTATCAAGCAAAGAGGAAAACAAACACCAAATGAGAAATTTATACAGCAATTACCAAAGTAACTCAATAAAATTTGAACACAACAGTGCAAATCATCAATTACTCATTGGTAAGGAACATACAGAGAGGTTAGAGTGTGAGTTGTAACTAGGCATGGGGAATTAGGACAAACCTGATAAGCCTCTGGTCCTTCAGCTATTACAGTTGCATGGTATACAACATACTGCATATCTGTCAATGTACAAACCGTATCAAAGAATAGCTTAGGTCGATCATGGCAACTCAGGCTCACGGTAGTATATTGCTTGTCAACACAGTTTTCAACAGTGACAATAGGTTTGCTACGCATGCTTGATGACCTACTATCCATATCATTCATATCATAATCACGATCAGCATACATCATCTGATGCAGCCTCCTTTCCTTATGGGTCGAGCCAACAGAAACAGCAGTGTTGGCACTTTTCGTATCTCGATCCCCTCTTAGGACATGGAGAAGAAGTTGTTTGATCCTGTTAAGTCTTTCAGGATCATCAATTCGAAATCCAGTAGCCTCATCATTGATATAGACCACGGACGCCATTCTAGAATTATGGGTCCACACTTCAGCAGCAACAACATTGCATTTAAGGTCTGCAAGAACAGCAAAGACCTCCGAGAGCAGACCCGGTCGGTCCCTTCCAGTCAACTCAATGGTTGTATGTTCTGGTGCAGATTGAAAACCTACTGACCTTGTCAAGGACTGAAAGCTATACGCCCTTGGTCTGAGTGACTGCAACATATAAATATAATCATCTATATGAGTTGTAAGGAATCCATATCATGATCACACAGAATGTCTTAGCAAAAATTACAGCACAGACTACAGACAAGGAAGCAGCCAACTGTTGCTTCTTTATCAAATTAGTAATGCATTTAATTCAGGAGGCTGGTAATTAAGTCTACGGAATATTGGCCAAAAAAAAAAAAAAGAAAAAGAAAAAAAAGTCTACGGAGTTGTAACCCGAGTGAGAGTTGAACATTAAGAACCAATGTTCAACTTGGTACCCCCTTCCTTCAATAAAAGTTAACTATCAGTGCATACGTCACTCTAGTAGAAATTTTACTTCTTTTCCAGGTTTTCTCCCTACTTCAAGGAATTTTTTTCTTTGGGGTTCATGGATTTTAGCCACTTTTAATCTGATCTAAATATGTATGTATGAAGGGGAATTCTTGTTTAATTGAAAACTCAAGGAGGACAAAACCACAGATAATTGATGGTACTCCAGGTCTGGTAATCAAAGTCGACGAATTTTTTCTAATTAATAGAAATCAAACAGCAGGGTCAATACCAAATTTGCAGATCTACCTGTTGAATTCTTTCAGCAATACCATCCTCAGGTAGCTTATTTCCATGCTTATCTGTGACATGAAACACTGCAACGAACCGTTGAAAACAAGAATAACAAATCAAAAGAACTGCAGATGAATTCAACACCTAAAGAAATGAAGCAAAAACTAACCATCCATGAACCATCCCCCATCTGAAGAGATATAGGCCCTTTTAATTATAAGATCCAAATCTGTCAAAACCTGAACGACATCTAGCAAACTCCCACGCCTGTTAGCACTGGCGACCTGTGAATTTCCCAGAAACAGAGTTACATGGAAAGCCTTAAGAATTGCTTGTCAAATCAAGCATAAATTCAGAATAATTCAACCTGATACCTGAATCAGAGTGGCTTTGGTGCTTGCATCATTATCAACTGTGACCCTGCAAAATCATCATCATCATCAAAGGGAAAGAAAATCAGCAACCCAGATAGCGAAAAGCCTTCAATCTCCTTCATTACCACTCAGAAAAATGGAAATTTCAAGGGAAACCCAAGGACCCATTTCCATTAACTAAAACCAGACTGGAAATAACATAAACTGGATTCCCCAATTGACATCAGAAGAAAAAAAACAGAGGAACAAAGAGAAATGAAGAACCTTGGAGGGTTCATCCGAATCGCAAGCTTCTCAAACTCCTCATCAACCGCAAGAGAAGGAGACCAGTGATCCATTTCGAAGAAAACAAAAGATGCAAAACAAAAAACAGGGTAATATATATTTAGGAGTGTGGAGAAATGGGTTTGCTCTGTTTCTTCAATTTCTATCTAAAAATCCAATCTTTTTCTTCCTCATATCTCCCAGTTTCTTGCACTTTCACTGCACCTCTGGATTCTGAACTCGGTTGTGGGTGCCTAGGTGGTGTGTTGTATGTTTGTTGGGAGGTGGTGGCTCTTGAGTTGGACGAATAGCTCTGGATGTAAGCAACACAGCAAATGCACACAACAATAACCAAGACAAATACTGCCAAATGAACGTATGAAAACTAACCAAAAAAAAAGAAAAAAAAAGAAAAAAAAGAAAAAAAAAGACATACTAAAGAAAGAAGGGAAAGCGTATGGGCCCCACAAAGCCTCCTCTCTCATCCTAACATTTGGCGGTGTCCTCTAGGGTCGGTTTTGTGTTCACAAGGCGGCTGATGGCTTTTGGCTGCTGCTCAATGCCCTGTGCCCTCTGTTTCTAGGGCTTTTTTAACCCTGTCAACAGGGTTCAATACAGCGCCTATATTGCCTCAGTTAAAGGCACCCCAACCCTTTCTTTAGCATCTTTCACTTTCACAAAGATCATCTGCTAAATCTAGCACGATTTTGGCTGTGCTTTAGGAAGCCTAAATGGAAGAAGACTGTATCATATCTACCACCACAGTGTCAATCGAAAATCTAGTTGGATTTTGTTTGGTTCTCAATCCTATCCCTTTATTACCTTTCCATTTGTGGGAGGATTCTCCTCAGGTGGCAGTAATCCTTTTTTCTTCTCTGTGTTTTGACTCTTCAATGCACATGCTTTCTCTGCATATTTGATCTGTTTGGCTACTTAAGCAATACAAACACCATTATCCACATGCTCGATTTCCTTTCCTTACCTTTCCTTTCCCTCCACACATGACCAATACCCATTTTCCATGTTCATTACTTTTGTGAAATTCCTTAGAAATTCACCGAAGTCTTCATCTCTATTACCTATCTTTTTGGATTTTAGTTAATCTAGTTATTTGAATTTTTGAAGATTTCAAAGTGAATGGAGAGATTTATGGAAAATTCAAAGGAAAATAAGAGCTGTCTTTATTTATTATTATTATTATTTTTTGAACAAAAGGAAAATGTGGGGACAGAGGAAAATAAAAGAAAAATAAAGAAAAAAAATTAAGGTAGTTTTATTTATTTCAGGTAGAGCATTCCAAAGATCTTAACAGCCATCCAAAATTATCAACGTCTTTCATGTATAGGAAATAGATTAATGACCTATGCAGCAGTTGGGTTTTTTGATCCATAGGGAATAAAATATAGATAAAAGAAATGGGACATGTGAGAATAGGAGGAAGAACAAGGTGGTATTATTCAGGTCTGTCTAACTTATATTTTAAACATAAATTAAAAAGTATAATTAATATATTTTTAAATATATTTATATTAAAAAATAAAATTTAATTTTTAATTAATTAATTGATCTATTAAATTCATTTATTTAACTATAATATTCAAATTAATATTAACTTTTATATTTTTTATATGTATTTATAAACAAAATATTTTTTCAATTTACACTTTAAAGATATAAATTAGAAAAACCTTTTTACTTATATTCCATTTTACTTACATTTGACACAATTATATAAAAAAAATTATAAAGATCAATGGAAACACATTTATCCTCTATTAAAATTTCAAAAAA